CACACGCTTGATAAGTAACACCCATGCATTATAAACTCCGCGGACCGACAACGACACGCGATTGCGGTGCCGATCTGTCCGCGCAAACTTCTTGCACACGACTGCGATGGACTGCAGTTGCACGGGGATCGGCGGCCTGGAAGCGAGTTTGAAATTGAATTACGTGCTGGTGGTGCCGGTGAAGCAGGCAGTGATGTTAAAGGACGAGCTGTTGGCCAGGGGCGTGCTGGAACAACAGATCTACGTGGTGAATCCGAACAGGAGACCGCCGCCGTACAGCAAGGCGACGAACGACAGGACTGCCGCCGATACAGGCGGCGATGGTGGCGGTCGTAAGCGAGACCGGACGAAACGGTTTATGCCAGGGGCCATCAAACTGGGCACGTACGTAGCAGGCGGCCGACTTTACACCGTGGGCTTACGCTGGGGATCCCTGTGGATTTCGATGGTCGATCGACCACCGATGGCCAATAGCGAAGGGGCCTCGGAGGTAACGGTGGCGTACGGCGGAGGGGCCTCGGAGGTCACGGTGGCGGGTAACGATGCGATCGCGGCGATCCCTCCGGCGATGGACCGCCGGATACCGGCCGCGGTGCCTGTCCCTGAGGAGGACGACGGTGTGGTCGCAAGAGTGCCGAAGGAGGGCGGCGGCGGCGGACCCGAGGCCGACACAAAGAGGACGGTCGTCCGAGAAGGTGACTGCGACGATAACGGTGACTACGACGACAACGACAACGACAACAACGACGACGTCGACCCCAATCTAGGTAACGACGGTCGGTGTAACAGCTCGAGCACGTTGTGCGAGGACTGCAAGCGGTGGTTGTTTCGCGAGTATTTCGGCGACCGGTGTCACGACGACAAAGCCTCGGACCTAACCGCTGGACACGCGTGCATTTACAAACGGATCGTCGACCGTCTGTTCGTGGTAACGGTTACAGAAAACGGCGGCGGCGGCGAAGTCGGCAACGACGACGAAGCGGCGTTCTGTTGCGGAACGACGACCGCAGCGGACTGCACAACGTCCGAAGTCGCAAGTCCACCGGAACGGGACCAGCCCGTCGCCGGTCCGTCGGGACGAGACCAGCCTGTCGTCGGTCCGACGACATCCGTATCGCAGCATGCACCGGAGACGGAAAACGCGACGACACCGGCGGAGGCGGCAAACGTCGGCAAACCCAAGTCCAAGTCGTTTTTCGGCAAGCTCTGTAGTAAGTCTAGGAAGAAGACGAAAGATCTCAAACCACCGAAAACCAATTGAGCACGCTTGAGCGCTGCGGACCACGGTTAGCATGTGCCGCCGACGTGGTGTAATTGCCAATAACCGTAAGCGCGCGAATACGTAGACGACTTGAGCAAAGACTATTAACGACTATATTTTATTTTTTATGTCTTACTGTCTATCTGTATATTGTCAATATAAATACCGTGTATTGTGCTTATAATAAAGTGTGCTTATCGAGTTTTTGCATTCTTATTGTTATTGGGAATTTTTTTTCTCCTAGGTTTCGTGACTTGTGCGCCAGTGTTTCGAAGAGAGATCGCGGGACGTACAAATATCTCGGAGTAAAGTTTATAGTTTTTAGAGTACTAATATTGATTGATTAAATGCTTAAAATAATTTACACAATGTTCAGTTAAATGTACTCGATGATACGTTAGTTTTGTTTTACACCTACTATGAAACTAATGACTAGGTAGGCACCTACCTAAACTAAATCACATTCATCAAATATCGATAACATAAATAACAATATCAATAACTCTAAATTCTAATTAGTTCCATATTTTCTTGCAATTAAATTAAAGTTGTATAGTGTTTTAAATGAGTAACACCACAATCAAAGCATAAATCAAAATAACATAATTGATTTATTATCAATGATCTATCACTCGTTAAATTTACCGAAAATTACCAAAGCTGATAGTATAAATAGAATAGATAAAATCTTAAAGTTAGATAACTTCATATTTTGAAAATTTCGTTGCGTTTATTAAAGTTTTCAAAACATTATGTTCCTAAAAATAATGTTTTTAAATTCTAAAAAAATAATTAAAATCTTTATTCGTCATTAAAATACATAATTCAATCCAAACTTGAACTATAAATATTTATAAAAAATAATTGTACATTATTTTAGATTTTTTAATTAAAAATTAATTTCAATTACTTATAAGAACTATTGTTTTAAATTCTTAAATTTTCATCATAAAAATGGAATATTTTATACATTTTTGTTACAAAATACGTGACAAATTTTAACTTCAAGTGCAAATAAAAAATTGATCCTTTATATTTTTAGAATTTTTTCAATAAAGATATTAAATTTTCAATAATTTTAACTCGGTAAAACATTTATCATCATTTATAAAATATATTCAAATTTCAAATGTCTATATATACTTTAAAAAAAGTGTAAATATTAAGAAAATTAAAACATGACATATAAAAAATACTAGGTAATTTTTATTAATCCAATAGGTGATGATAAACTTTAAATATTTTAATAATATTTTTATTAAATATATTTATTGTAAATAATTGTTATTTAAATATTAAAAAAAGTGTTAATGAACTGAAGATATTTTTTAATGAAATAATAAAATACATAATAACTTAAACATAATAAAATTATCATTTAAAGAACTAGGAAATATATTTATACAATAATGGTTCTATAATTATAATAAATAAGTCATATCCAACAACATATAAATTTAATGTGCAATTTAAATAATAATTACCCTATAGTTATAGGGTATATTTAACCTCATAGTCAATAAGTTAATACCTATTTTTTTTAAGAATGTATCAACCTAGCATCTATCAAACTACCTGACAACTCTCCCCATCGCTTCAAACAAAAATGCCCATGTGATTTTATCATTACCTAATACAAGCAAAATTGAGTTCATATTGGAAAAAGTGTCAATGGAGGCTCCCTTCCTTCAAGCTATCTAGCCTAGTTAAATAAATAAAAGTCAACACAATTATTTACTGAATTATTTGTACAAAGATAGTATTTTTTTTCTATTTTGACAAAAAATGAATGTAACTGATTGGTACTAGCTGTAGATAAATAGATGATTTACTATATTCTAAAAATAGAAATTACTGTAACACAAAAATTAAAGACCAAGAAAACAAAATAACTGAAATAAATCATGATACTGGTAATAGTGTAATGAATAATCAAAAAATATGCACTTTTATTTAATATGAAATTAATGTCTTCAATATCTTAGAAAATAAAGGTAGTATACTACTATTATAAAAGTACATTATAATTTAATTTGTATTATTGTGCTTAATATTTAGTTTTTTTTTAAATAAAAGGTAAACAAAATACAACATTATTACAAATTAATTAAAATTTAATATACCAAAAACAATCATAAGACGTTTAAAGACAATAATTTAATTTCATAAATATACTGAAATTAAAACCTAAATTATTCTCTATTTACAGAGTCATTTAGTTACTACAGCTTGGTGATGTGTAGTCTGTGTACTATCTCTTTAACTTTATCTACAATTACTTAAATTAATAAAGAATAATTATCACTTACCTACCTACTAAAAATTACACACAAATTTTAAAAGTTTGCAAGCACATACTTAGAAATTTGCCAGTATTGAATTACATAATATAAATGCTGTACTGAGATCCAAAAATTAAACTTTTTGATAAATAAATTCATTTTTCTTAAGAAACATATTTTGTTCTCAACAATCTCTTAGTGATAATTAGTAGAATTATTTCTATCTTTTATTTTCTCATTCATGATATATTATTGAAAAAAGTTTTAGTTACCTGTTCTGTAAAAAAAAAATTGAAGTTTTACTATAAGTATGACTAGGGACATAAGACAGTAAGCAAAAAAAGAGATGCACTAGTTTCTTTTAAACCGAATTGATATTCTTATTTTTTATAGTAATTTTCAGTGTTATTTGTTAACTACTAATAATTTTATATTCTTATTACACAATTAATTTTTTTAATTACTTTGTCCATATTCACTTAAGTTATAATTATATAAAATACTTGGGCTAAGTAGTTTATAGTTTAAATGAAAGTATAACTACATTTCTAAATAAGGATTATTTTTTTGTTTTACATTGATATTTTACTTTTTTTTAAGTACCACTTTCATACACAGCTACTAAAATTACTTTCACAAAACATATTAAAAATAAAAATTGAATAGATAGCTACTTTGAAGATAATATATTAAGAATAGTACTTACTTCGGGTTATTAAACAAAGCAAGGAATATGGACACCAACTGTTCACCTTATGAACTGAAGTACACTAAAACCTGAATATTACACAGTCTTAATATTTTGTTTATTTTTCTAGGAAAGAATCAGATAATAAAACTAGTATTTTTTATAACACAAAATTAATTTTTATTTTATCACAAATAATTGGGATTCTCTAAAACTAGTAAAATTGAAAAGAAAGAAGTGGTTTATTATTACCTATATTCAGTTTTACAGAGTTTATTATAGGCACAAGAATAGTAGGTACTTAAATGTTTGAATTACTAAATTCTGATGAAAAAACCAGAATGTAGTAAAAATAATTAATTACTTATTAAGATTTTTAACTCATAAACATAATCTTACATTTAGTTGAATATAAATAAGTTTTAAATTTATCAAATTATGAGATTAGAAAAAAACTAAATTAAACAAAGTAATACAGTTAATTTATGAACAAGAACTATTGAACAAAATCCATGAGATAAGTAGAAAAATTTTAATAGAATAAGATAACTTTAAATTTTCAAAAATATATGAATGTAAATATTTTAACAAATTGTAGTAAATACATAATAGAAAATACAATAACATGTATACAAGAAATTTTTTTATAGATAACTAAAAATAAGACAATGCATAATATCCATAAAATATTATTACACAACATGATATTAATATTATTCAATATTAGCATAAAATGATACATTTTATACAAAAAAATGTTTAGAGGTGTATATTATAAGCACTAATAGAGAAATTTTGGTAATAGAATTACATACTAATGACAATTGTTCACTTGTGAAAACTTGTGAGGAACCTGAAATTGAGTAAATATTAAATTGTTAAACATATATAAAAATAAGTAATAATTTATTAATCAACTTTACTTTTTAGGAAATTACTTATATTATAGCACAACTAATACATTTAATACTGTTTAAATATTATTTAAAAAAATTAATATTGTTTAAAAAAAAAAAAACTGTTTAGAGACTACAATTTAATGTCTTTTCAAATAATTTCATTTGTCAAAAAAATCTAACTTATATTAACATTAAGGTTTGAAATATAAACTGTTGTAATAACATTTTGATTTTTACTTTAAAATATGAATTATTATGATATAATAAAAATAAAAACTAATATTTTCTATTATAAAATTTAATTTTTAAGTGCTTTCTATTTCTTACATGCTTAAGCTATTTGTTATAATTTTACTTGCCTTATTGAAATATTAATTTGTTTATACTCTTGAATATCCATTTTATTTTAAAGGAAAACGCATGATATTACTAATATCACTTAAGACTCTTCTACTTTTTAAATAGAATCGTCTTTGTTCAACGTGTCCATGATTTTCTTTTTCAGATTGCATGTATGTTACATACATTTTTTTCTTTTGTTTAGCTGAAGGTGAATATTTTATTGCATTATGCCAAGCTTTAGATACCATAGACATTGCCAAAATGTCTTTTCCATACATAAATGAAAATATTTTCTCAGTTACAGGAACAAAATTATAACGCTTTGATAAATAATACATAAAATCTACTTTTATCTGACCTTCTAAATTAATACGTTTATGATAAATACTTTTGTATAAATTAAGATTTTTACTTTTCGAAAATTTAAAATCATATTTAGGATAAGAATTTGATTGATTCATTTGCATTCGGAAACAAGAAATTAAACTTAATTTTTTTGAAGGTTCTTGATTTAAAGATATTAATGGGGCACAAAAAGCAACTGGATCTTTTACATTTGAACTGTCTTTTAATTTAAAAACGCCATAGTCTAATTTATGAATGGATGAAGAAACTTTACGAACACCAAGATTTGTTGATGAACGATTACAAAAAATTGGCACCAAAGATGAATCATTATAAAATTTGGAACTAGTTGTATGTATGAATCTATAAGATGTTGAAGTGGATATGAAAGACTTGTCAACACAAAGAGATTCTTCATAAATGGTATTAGACATTTTTTGTTTTGTGATATCTAAAAAAATATAAAAAATAATAATATAATAAGAATAAGAATAAGAATAATGATACATTAATTCTATCCTATGTTCATATATCTTATACTTTGTATAATCTAATACTAACAATGTAAATAAATGGTTAGAATAATAGATTTCACTGATTTTTAAAAAGTAATTATAATTAATCAAGTTAATACTCAAATATATTTGTGGCCTGGTGTAGCATGGTGGTTGACCTCAGTCACTAATATGTTCCGAGGTCAAGCATCGGCCGGTGTTGCTAGCTCTCGGATAGGTGACCACCCGAGTTCTTAGTAACGTATCCATGACGCACACACATACATACACATGTTCCAACCTCACTAACCAAAATCTTACAAACAAACCTTACACAAAACAAAAAACACCTACTGTTACTATCCACAGCTAATAGCCTTAATTGTCGGGCTTAAATAAGATTAATAAAAAAATAAAATATACTTAAATAATTTATATAAATATTAAGAGGTACTTATAAATGTAATCAATAATTATATTTTAATGCACCATTTTAGTATATTTTATATAATTCAAATTATTTTACTTTAAATTAAAAATTAGAAAAATTGCAATTAAAAATATAAAGATACAACATAATACTTTACAAGAACTTGAATCATGAACTTTCAGTTTCTAGCAACTCATATAGTTTTCAAATTTTAAACTATTTGAGCTCTTGGTTCAACATTGTATTATTCAACTTATAATACCTATAGATGTACTTGATAATATTTGTAGATAAATATAAAAACTAAAAAGTTGTAGCTTAATTATTTATCTAACTAATTTTTAGTTTAGTTGTATTTAATATATAAGAGACAATATAAGATATACAGAAAAGTATTTTAAAGCATTTTTCAATAAAATATCTCGGAATTCACCTAAATGAAAAATTAATTTGGAAAATGCATATAAATAAAAAATTAAACCAAGCTTATACATAGTTAAAAATCTTATACCCCCTAATAAATTATAGCTCTACACTTCAGATTAAATGCTCACTCTCATATACAAACCATTAATAACATATGCATGCCTAATATGGACAGCTGCATCTCAAACAAAAATAAAAAAATTACAAATGATATAAAACAAATTTCTGAGAATTGCTCCAAAAGCCAAAACACACAATTCCACAACACTGAAATACCATACACCTAACCACATGAATCAAAGAACAATTTCAAAAATTTCACCCAAAACTAAGTTCAATAGAAAGAGCCTTTCTTTTGAAATTGAGAAAAAACCAAAAACCACAAACTAAAGTCACATCTCCCACAAGATGTCTGGTTACCTCCAGAATCTACATCATCATCATCGATATTATTAGAACAATGACCCTAAGATAATAATTCATAATATAAATACATATAGCTAAGTTAAAATAATTTATTTTATTACTCTATTATCTAATTATGTAATTTATAAACAAAAGAAAAAAAACTATTATAAAAATAAAGATTTTGTTGAAACAATTGAAATTTAATGAATAAAAAAAATTTATATTGTTATCATCATTATGTAATATATTATTAATTATTGAAATTTCACATATACATTTCCTAAATTAAATAGGGATTTTTCACAAGGTAGTCATTAATTAAAGAACTTTTTAGTAAGTAAATTGCCTAATAAACTTAATAATTTAACTAAAGAATACACTGTAACAACTTAGCTTTACCTAATTAATTTGGTAAAAAATACATACAAATCATATTCATAGATGAACTTTCAGCAACATTAAACATTTTCAGTAAACTTAATTTTTCAAGTTTTAAATTTTTTTTTATATTATTTATAATGAAGTTACATAAATACCAGTAAAAGTAAGTGTAGAATGTAAGAATACATTCCTATATTTCTAGCTACATCATAATAAGTAATTATCATATTAAAAGTTTGTAGGTCACATAACAAAAATTTAATTAATTAAAAATACAAAATTTGTTTTTTATTAAAATTATAACACAATTTTTTTAAGTAATAATATATACTAAATACTTAGTAATTTTATTTAATAAGTAAATCTTTAAGTATTTCATTAAAAACTAAACTTTAAAATAACTTTAAAAGTTAAATAAACAAAATCAATCAAATAATATAATAAACTAAGATTAAATTAAAAAAATTTTATCATGCACAGGTACTAATTCATATGTAAAAATTGATTATTATTAAGAATTTCTAAAGCTATTGATTAATTGCTGTTATATGATCTATTTTTAAATAAGTTGATACGAGTTGCTTTTTTTTTTTTGAAATTGTAAACATTATAAGTTTATTATACATATTTTTTGAATCCATAAAATTTGGTATAATTTAAGCAAATCGAGTGATAATATGATAAATAAGGATTGAAAATGGTTTCATTTCAATGTTTCTTATGAGCTATAAGAATTATTGCCAATTAATATGGAAATTAATTTCAAAACACTATGAAAAAAAAAACATCAACATTTTATACTTTTACATATTAAGTGCATTTTTAGTTTAAAAAGTATAATTCTTACTAATATAATTTTTGAAAGTATATTTGATGATTAACAATATTAGAAAATTCTTAAATTAAAATGTGATATAAACATTTTAAATTTTCTCTATAAAATATTGTATTGTTTTTTAAGCATCCTATTGATATAACAAGATAATATTATTATTATTTAGTCTATATTAATGAGATCATTAATATTTAACAATAAATATTTATAAACAAATAAATATATTTGTATTTCTTTTGCTAACAGATATTTAATTTAATAAAAAAAAAATAAAAAAGGAATGATTTAATTAAAGACATTTTTGACAATTAGGCTTACTAAAAAACTAACCAAGCATATTTTAAAAATATTTCTAGTGAGGGGAGAGGGTCATAAATTATAGTCAATATAAATTAAACAAGCACACACAATAAATTAAAATATTAAAGTAAAAATAATTTTTAAGGGAGGGGTGGCGGGGTCAAAACCTATTCCCCTCGCTTCATGAATACGTGTCCGACATCTGTCTGATATTATCGTCAAAAACACTTTTAAGTACACAGGATAAACTTTATAGTTTATTATACAAATGACCATGATATTTGTATTATTGAATTTATCGTTAAAAGTCGGAATGCCATGCCGACAGTTAATGACAAGACGTATAAGAGGACATGAGAAACGAACGAATAAAATGCAAAATCAATATAAGCTCATAGCCATCGAACTATCAAAAACTCAGCGTATTTGAAAACGTAATAAAATCTAACTGAAATAAATCCATTCGATGCAATAATTATTAATTACCGTACTTACAGACAGGCAGCACGTGCACACGTAACAGCTTGTGACATGTCACGGTCGTAACTATTTAAAATATTATTAAAATGTAATATAAAGTGTTTTTTACATACCTTTACAACGCCAATTCGTGTATGGACGGCGAATTTTCGTTCGAAGCCTCCTTTGTAATGAACGATGAAGAGACGCGTAGTGGTCTTGTTAACCGCGGATAGAATACTCGACAAAGCCGTCGCAAAGGATGACCTTTTGGATGATCGTTGCGACTGGGCGACCAACGTGACGTCGTAACTGACTTCCAGCTAGTCGCGTTGTCACTTGTCGGTAAAACAATCACACAAAAAATTGTAAAATTGATGAAGCCATAGAGATATGTATATGTTATCTGTTAATTTGCGGCTTGTTTTTTAACGCCATTTGTGGTCACGTAAATAATTATTATACAACTATATAACTGCCGACGTAGACAAAAAACGACAGCGATCGACTAAAAACGCAAAGCACAAAAGACAGAAAACGATAAGCCGTTAAATATTATATTATTTTTGTCATCGGTCGTGCTAAATGATAAGTGATAACGAACTCGGTGGGTTAATAATAATATTATATTAATTCGGTAAACTGGAACATCGAATAAGAGGAAATTCAAATATCTACGTACACAAGATTCACGGAATAAATCATTAGTAATACCCTGGCTCTATCAACGAGCTAAGAAGAAGAACGTGATTAACGATGTCAATTGGAAAGACATAACCCCTTTACCCTCTTCACTCTTGCTAATGAGGACGCCGACATTTCAATCTATAAATATTTTCTACTGTTTATGTTTACCCATATTTTTATACTATATAGGTAGCATTATGTATTATACGTCTATACCTAATATATTATGAAATGTGCTGAAAACATAATATTATATAGGTGTAATCTTTTGTACATACCTGTTAATTATTAATTATTATACTTGATTGTTTTAACATTCATATTTCGTGGTTATTCGGTCGTTAATAGCGTTATAACTTATAGTTATTACTCTTTATAATAATTTGATATCTCTACTTAATATTTATTTTCAAATTTTGTGGAAAAAGGTGGTAAGCTCTTGTCGCAATGCGCACGTAGTCGACAATTTCTTTCAAATAAAATGATAGCTATTATGATCATAAACGAACCTCTTAGAATTATCAATTTTACTCTTTAATGCCGCGTTGTGTTTTCAACGATTAGACTAAAATTCGTTGTAATAAAACTATAATGACTTCAAGTTTTAAGCTTTAACGAAAGCATAGACCTTATGACAATTCGTTTAATCATATATATATATAAAATACATAGTTATATAGATATCATAGCACTGATACCAATGGGCAATGATTATAGGTAGATATTCAATTTATAACATTTTTTTCGAACGCCCATAATAAAGTACCTACGATAAAGTTACTAAATCCTAGACCTTAGTTACGCCAGTACCTACATAGACATTCTATAATTGTATACATGTAACTGTAGCAACAGTGAGAAAAAGAGATAAAGAAGAATAATCCAATCATTAAATTTGACAAAATTGTTTTTAGGTAATCTTCGTGTCTCTAAATTTTATAAATACCTAAGCAAAACTATTAGTTAATTATAAAATATTTTATCCTGAACAATTTATACTATTTAGTGTAATAATTATAATTTAAAATTATAACCATTACCTTATCTGGTTACTACCTGTTGTATATTAATTAACAGCCCAATGTTTAGTAAATTAGATTATAAATGCAATAGGGCCTCTAAAGAAATTATATTCCCGGGTCTCAATATATTATGTAGTTTCATTAGTTCCAACACTGCTTAATGATAGTAGGACACTTTGTTCAGTCACTTAGAAAAAATTTAAATCGCGATTAGTTATTTTAGCTAGTATAACGATATTGAATATAGCGGTCAATTTGTATTATTTCAGATAGGAAAAAATGTATACATTTTACATAGTTATAATTAGAAATATAAATGGGTAGTTGCAGATTTTCCTATGGTTTGATTGTAGATTTAAAACCGAAATAAATTATTAATCGACTTATTATAAACAGTAGAAAATAATACGTATAATCAAAATAAGAAAATCTTAAGAAAACATTGAAACAATAAAAATGTTATAAATTTAGGTACACTCTTTTGCAATTTCATGTTGACTGATACAAATGGAAAAAACAGCAATACATTTTTACATGTGATTTTAAAATTATCTATAGCAGCGGTTCTCAAACTGTGGTATGCGTACCACTAGTGGTACGCGAAAGACTACATTGTGGTACGCGGAACGCCACATGGTAGTAGGATTTTTAATCATCAGTGGTACGCGACTGATTGATAATATACTTAAATGGTACGCGAAAAAAAAGTTTGAGAACCGCTGGTCTATAGTGTATGAATATTATTCTCTTAAATATTATCAAACTTGTACCAATCGGAATTACGATTAAGGTCGCCCGAGTTTGATCTAAAGTTTCGAGTACTTAATCTAATCGTATCTAATCTTTTTATATATATTATCCAGTTTATTTTTACCGTTCAAATTATTCGCGATTAATTATTAACTATTTATTTTCACTGAACAAAATCAGATATGTAATAAAGTTTAAGTCCATTTATCCTGTTTTATGCAATGACTTTCTTAAAATATTTAAATTGATTTAAATATTACCTACCTATTTATGTTATGAACCTATTCATACTATTTTACGCTAAAGCTAAAGTAGTATTAACTCAATAGTTAATTTTGTTAACAATAATATACTATGATATAAATACATTTATATATATATAATTACATAATAATTAAAATTTAAATATTAATTTAATAAATGCTAAATTGTTTGCAAAAAGTAAATAAACCTACCGTGCATCAATATAGTAAAATAAATTACTTTATATACTTTATAGTATATTCATAGTATATTATTAATATTCATAAATATAAAAAATATGTATAAATATATATTGCACTCCAATATCAATACGCACTGTAATAACTAACGAAATAATCAATGTGAGATGTATTTATCGCCATCGATAAGAAACATCTAGTGGTGATTAATTTTTATTAGAACGTAAAAGTATATAAAAATAACTCGTATAGTGAATATTATATTTAATGATCGATATTATCAAAATGCCGATATACGTGAAATATGTTCATTATACCGATATTACGAAAATAAAATCTTTAAAAATAAACATAATATTCTTAAATATTCTCTGTGTTGAATATTCTCAATCCCCAAAATATGCTTTTTTATGTAAAATAATAATTTTTAATGAATTTCGTTTCATGAATTGTAATGATATCTTACTCCCTGTTAAGTTTTAAACCCATATACTAGAAATAAATAGTATTAAAGCACTACGCAGAGAGTTACCTAAATTCATGGATAGAATTTTGAAAAAATAAGTCAGAAAAGGTTGATTTTTAAATGTAAGCTTTTAAATATGCATCTATGTTACCTAACATAGATGCATGTATATAAAGTGTTATATTTAATGTTTTGTAAAATTTAAATTTAACAATTACAAAATTAAATAAAATTTTTTGAATAAATAGTATTTAAATGCTAAATTATGAGTATATGAAACAAAAATATAAAATAAATTAACAACCCTAATGTCAAAATTAAGAACATAATATGTTATTGAAACTTCGATTTTGTTCTTCTTTAATAATAAAATATTTTGCTTTATACTTTTGAATTTTTAGCTGTCAATATACACAGTAATATACTAATAACTAATAAGAATTATTTTATATACGTCTTGATATTTAAAATAAAATGTTGGAGTTAATAATGTTGGAGAGAACCTATTCCAGGCAATTAAAAATGTTCTTGTGCAATATTATCAAGTATCAATACCACATATGTCAAATGTAAAACAAATTATAAATCACAAAAATAAAGAAATTTGTGTGTACAAAACTAAAATAATATAGTAAATGTGTGAACTGTGAAATATATACTATATACCAAACTTCTTTAAATAATGTAAATTATTAAAAAAAAAAGTGATTTTGACTTTGGAAAAAATGTACTTGTTATCATTGTGACTAGGACAATGATGAATAGTCTAGCTGATTATTTGTTGTTCAATCAAATTTATAATATTATAGTGTATAAAATATACATAAAAAACTAAAATTACCTATCCTAAGTAGATCATTTTTCAGTTATTAATTTATAGTGTAAGATGTAAATATTAGTAATTATGCTAACATATCATATATTTTTTTGGTTCGTGATTCTCAAAAATAAAAAAACCACAGCAGAACTTCTATTTTACAAACATTTATATATTCTGCCCACCAAATTATCTTAATTTTTTTATTGTTTCAACAATCGTACAAGCTTTTATTATATTTAACGAGTTATTCATTTTTTTTTTTATAAAATATTATTTTAAAGTAGATATTTTATTTATATATATATATATGTATATTTAAGATAAGTGTTAATGTTATTAATTTTGCATAATGTTAATATTTCTAATAGATATTAAAAATGATAATAATTAGTTGTCCTTTACCCACTGGTATATTTATTGGTACTTAACTAAATATTTCAATAATGATAAGCTTAAGCATAAACTGGTGAAAAAGAAGACGATTTAAATTTCTATCTTTTAATTTTTAAAAAGAAAATTTAAAGACATTTTTTCAATTAATGTCATGAATATTGAAATTTACTCTAAGTCAGTCATGGAATTTGCACAGAAAATCATAAAACTAAGAAGCATGCTACATGTTAAATTTTTAGTTTCAACCGTTGATTCGTGTAAATAAATTATGTTCTACTTGGCAATAAATAAAATTAACCAAAAAGATAAAAATCGTCAGATTCCGAGGTCACGATGTTGGTGGAAACATTATTTCGATTATAAAAGAAAAGATGTCATTTTTCGCGTTGAAATTCCGTCCGTCCACCATGTGCTGCATTCTATATTATTCATATCGACGCTGTCAAAGAGTTGCGAACGTATATTGATTATAATATTATTATTATTATTATTATTAATGTTGTTGTCGTTCGTTCCCGAAATAATATATTATGGTAAAGTGCGCACTGCGCAGTCGTCGGCGGCGGCGTCGTCGTCGTCGTGGGTAGAAAACGTACGGCTCGGCGACCGGTCGCAGGTTAAAAATGGTAAGGCTCGGGGAGACCGGTAGTGTAGTGGTGGTGGGAGTGAAGGTGATGGTGGTGATGACGGCGTCGGCGTCGGCGGTGGCGACGGGAGAACGAACAGCGCGAACACGGATAACACGATGATGTACGGTTGTTCGCCGCCCGATGTCGCCGTCTGTGGGGTGGGGCGTGGTGGGCTCCGGGCCTGCCACCGAAAACGATCAATGTGGAGAAGGCGTCGGCAAGTGTGGTTTTGTGTTTAGCCCGTGGGCCGTTCTCGCGAGTCGCCGCCCTTGCGCGCCCTGGATCTCGCGCACGCCGACGGGCCGCCTGCACGCCGGTAACCGACTGGTGGCGCCCCCTATAATCGATGACCGAAAACTCGGTTGACCGTACGATTACAACATTTACCAATATTACAACACACCACACAGCCCGTCGCTCGCACGCGCGCGCGCCGTCGATCAGCGCCACGTTACCATGGTTATAGACGTTATAGTAATAGTGGCTAATACAGGTTGAACACCGCCCGACGAGTCTCGACGACCGCCGTAATCGATAATACAG